GTCTGTAATTGGCTAAAACACCTGGATCTAGAGTCGGCTTTTTTAGAAGTGTAATAATACCCGAACCTTATAATGTATATAATATAAAACCATCTCACACATACTTATGCTGCAGCTTGAAGGAGGCTTGAGAAGCTTCCTCAGCAAATAAAAACGTGAGTTTCTTTTCCGTAAACTGGCAGAAACGACGGTGATCCACAGGTCTGTGCTGCGTTTAAGTGCTGGTAGAAAATCAGAACCGGCAGCGTTTCTGCACATCGACGCGTCGTTATCACAGCTCACAGCTTTAGTCTCAGGTTCTTCCGGCAGCGCTTCAGTGTTTTGAACTTTGCCGGTTTGTTTCCCAGGACGCAGCGGGAGCGGGCCGAGCTGGAGCAGAACTTTGCCAGAGAGATCGGGAACCTGGTGCAGAGGCTGAGCGCCGAGAAGGAGCAGCTGGAGGCCGAGCTGAAGCTGAAGACGGACCAGGAGGTGATGCTGGTCAGGTGAGCTAAAGGAGGAACGCTGATGGTCAGTGCATCTCATTGGACTTTCCTGTGAAACATCCCCAGAAGCAGCCGAGGGTCTGAGCAGACGTCGTCTTTGCCACCAATGATGCCTTCATGAGCCACAAACTGCAGGAACAGAAACCGAACCTTTGTGACGCTTCTTGACTTTCAGTTCTGTCAGAACAAAGTTCCAGGTTGTGATATTTGCCTGGAGTCACAGCTGTCATGACCCGGTTCTTTCTGTTTGTAGTTTCTGGCTGATGAATGTGTCATGTGGTGGATTTAATCTCTTAGAGATCATATGGCTGTGGGCCCATATTTATAATAACTGCTGTTGTGTTGGTTCTGGAGGAGCGGCCCAGTGAGTCTGGTTCTAGTTTAATCAGCTTCTTCTGAGGTGAAGAATTAAAACATGAAAGACAGAAAACAGTCGAGACCAACAGAACCTGTCCTGTGAGCAGAGACGAGGCACAGCAGCAGCTCGCCCACATGAAGCTGCATCACGCCGAGTCGCAGCGCCGCCTGCTGCACCAGCTGCACCGCGAGCGCCAGCGGCTGCAGGAGCAGAGGGGATTCTGGGAGAACCGGCTCGCCCGGTCGGAGGAGCAGCGCCAGGAGGAAGTCCGGAACCTGAAGGAGCGGCTTGCTGAGGCAGAGGAGGCCGGCCGATCGGCAGCCGACCTGCGGGAGCAGCTGGAGGCCCGGCTGCAGGAGAGCATCGGCTTCCTGGAGTCGCACGAGGTTCTGAATAGACGTCTGGCAGCGGAGAAGAGTTCTGTGGAGGAGCAGCTGCAGCAGCAGCTCTCAGAACTGCACGTCGAGTCCAAAACCTGCAGCCGCCTCTCCGGCGCCGTGGCCCAGCATCAAGCGCAGCTCAGAGCCAGAGAACAGACCGTGGCCTTCCTCAGAGCTGAGCTGGAGAACCTGCAGGAGGCGCTGAGGACCAAAACCGAGTCCATCTCCAGGCTCTCTACCGAGCTGGACTCCCTGAGGACGGACCGGGCCAGACTGATCCAGGACCTGAAGGACCAGGCAATGGCCGTGGACAACCTGCAGCTGCAGCTGGACGGCGTCTCTAAGGAGCTGGACGTCCGCAGGAGCAGCGAGGAGAGTCTGCAGGAGGCTCTGAGGCAGGAACAGACCAGAACCTCACAGCTACGGTCCAATCTGGACGAGGAGAAGGAGGAGGTGTGCCGGCTGAGCCAGGAGAACCGGAGCTACATCCGGCTGGCTGACCAGCTCTCCACCCAGATCGTGGAGATGGAGGAGGAGATCTCGACGCTCCGAGACCACCTGAAGGAGCTCAGCCAGCAGCTCAACGACACCGCAGACCTGGTTCTGGACCTCCGGACCCAGCTCAACGCCAGAACCAGCAAGGCTGCAGAGCAGCAGAAAAAGACTCCAGAGAGTCACAGTGAGGTTCTGCAGCTGAGAGCTCAGCTGGAGGTCCGAGACGCAGAGTTGGACCGGGTCAAGGACAAACTCCTCCAGCTGCAGCGGGCCCTGCAGGACTCCCAGAACCAGCTGGAGGCCCTGCAGAACTCCCAGAACCAGACACAGCAGGACTTTCATGAGGAGAAATGGAGGCTGACGCAGCAGCTACTGGAACTGGAGCAGCTGGTTCTGGCTCTGGAGGAGGCTTCGGACCCGCCCGCTCCGCTCAGGTTTGTGGAGCATGAGACTGACTCAGAGATCCAGAACCGGGTCTGGACGATGACTAACCACCGACTGCCTGATCCAAAATCTTAAAGACTAATCGAGATGCTCTGAATGAAACTCCCACAATGCACTGCTGCACGGCGCTAACGCTCACCTCACCGCTAACCCAATGACATCATCTAAACGCATGAGTCCATCCCACACTTCCTGTTTCCTGTTTCCTGTCTCCTCCGATGTAAATCTTTGATTTGCTGATTGTCCCTCCTGATCATCAGTCAGCTGCAGCTTCTGTTTCTCTTACTGGTGTCGGTCTGTTGGCTGCAGAACCCAGCTGGAGGAGGTCCGGTCAGAGAACGGAGCTCTGCAGGAGAGACTGAGCGTCCTGCAGCAGGAGGTCCAGAACCTGGAGGAGGACGTCGCCAAGAAGAGGTGAGTCAGTGTGAAGCCAGAGTTCATTCAAATATCAGTTAATTTAAAACGCGCTGGTTCAGCAAGTAAATAAAGGGAAGGTGTGCAGGCAGGTGTGTTCAGGTGGGTCAGCGTGGGGCGTGAACGGACCAGTTGCTGGGCAGGTGAGCCTTGATGAGGGACTGAATGAGCTCGACTGTTGAACAATAAGAAGCTGAGAGCTTTGAGTCTTTGAGCCGAACACGTTCCTCTGAAGCTCCTGACATCAGCAGGAGGAACCAGCCTGGAGGCCGAGCGGCACCACGAGGCTGCAGCTTCACAGCACAGCTTGTGTTGAGGATTGTTGATGACGGATCGGGTGTAAAGACGGTCATGACTAAAGCGTTGCTGCTGCTGTGCTAACATTTGTTCCTCCACCAGGAGGAGGCTGGAGGAGATGGAGAGGGAGCACCAGAGGAGCAGAGAAGAGGAGGAGAGGCTGCACAAGGAGGTGACAGCATTTACAGAAAGGACCAGAGTCCATTCAGATATCTGCAGATTTCACACTGATCCGGTTCTGATCAGAGGAACGGATCCAGACATGAACAGCTGTTTCCATTTTGTTCAACTGAACTCATCAAACTAACCATGTGACCTGCAGTAACCCCTAAAATAGCCTCTGATAACCTCAGACACGCTGGTTTTACTGGACACCAACCAGTAGACGGGAGCTCAGCCTTCAGACGCCTGGTTCAGGTTTTGACCTGCTGCAGCATCCACCTGATGGTTATCTCCTCTGTGCTTCCACAGAACTCCAAGTACCGTGAGGAGGTTCTGGATCTGAGCAGCAGGAACCTGCAGCTGAGCAATGACAACGCCGAGCTGAGCGCCCGTCTCCGTGGAGACCAGGAGTCGGTCCGGATGCTGCGGGAGCGCCTGGCGACGGTGTCCAAGGAGCAGGAGGACGAGGAGGTGACGGTGAGCTCTGTCGTCGTGTTCCTGACTCCTGAGCTTTGGGTTTTTACAGAATCTGGGTCGAGCAAACGCTCCGTTGTCACTATTTGAAGTGAGAATAAAATAAGTTTGATTAAATATCACAACTCTAAGCTCAGATTTGTTTAAGTCAGAAGATGAAGGACCGTCGGAGAGTTTCAGCCTGGATGTGGAGCGTTGTCTCAGGACGTGAAGCTCATGTCAGACTGCTGTGTTGCGTTCAGGTGCGGCGGCTGCAGGATGCAGCGATGCAGCAGGAGAGAGAGAAGCTGCAGCAGCAGGCCACCTGGATGCAGGAGAAGCAGCTGCTGCAGAAAGAAGTGAGCTGCTGCAGGGAGAAGGTAGGAGCTCCATCAGTCATTACTGCTGTTTGGTGGCTCAGAGTTCCTCAGACGCCTCGTTCTGTCCACGATCAGGAGTTCACAGAACCCAGGTCATGCTCACCAGGGGCTTTTCTAGAAACAGATGGAATGAGGGAGCACACCGTGTTGAGGGTGTGAAGCCTTTGAAAAACTGAAGCTTCAGTGGGACATTCTGAGGGAGAAGCTTTAGCTCATGAAACTTCACAAATCAAGACACTATCAGCTGTTGAGCAGTTGTTTGGTTAGAACAGTAATCCAGCTGTTCTCTGTAAATGAAGACATGACAAATACTAGTACTGGCAGAACTTCTGTTTACTAGTTCTTGGAATGTTCTGACATGCTCGTAATGCACCGTGATGCACATACATGTACTTTAACCAGTGTCAGGGAGAAGACCCTATCATACATGTGGGTGAAAGGTCATTCAGTCTGGAGAAATCTGGCTGTGTAGGTCAGCTGACCCTGCATGTAACCGATATGAAATCTGGTGGGAGCAGCTCACACCAAAACAACATGGCGCCTCGGCGTGGAAGACACCAGTTTCGATGGTTCTGTGCACCGTCTAACGGTGTATCTACTGCAGTCATGCTGGAGTCGTGATAACGCTTTTTGATGGTCAGACACACGGTGTTGTGGTGCTGCTGGGATATTTTCACGGCCGAGAGGATCAAGGCTGCATGTTGTATGGCAGCATGTCAGAACACGGCCCAGTGCTACTCGGGTTCAGTCGGCATTTTGGTAAGAGGCCACAGCGCCCCCTAACATTGGACAAACCTCTGCTCACACTGAAGAAGCTGCACAGAACCTGGACTGTTTTTAAAAGAAGTGACTCAAAGCGACGAATCGATGGTCAGAACAGCTGCTGAGAACTTTGATCACATGTTGTGGAGCTTAAAGACTGATTTCAGTGTTTGTGTCAATGAACAGCTGAGCCGGCAGGCGGAGACGGAGGCGGAGCTCAGCGGCGCCACTCTGAGGCTGCAGTGGTTGGAGGAGGACAAAGACAAGCTGCTGAGAGACGCCGAGGACAGAAACAACAAGGTGGAGACCCAAAACCACTTCAGAACCCAACCTTCTGATCAATACATACATGCAGCATGGATCAGAACCAGACAACAGAGGAGCAGGTGGTGGAGATACATTCAGCTGATGGAGGAACATCTTTCTACTGATGGTGGAACATCTTTCTACTGATGGTGGAACATCTTTCTACAGCTGATGGAGGAACATCTTTCTACTGATGGTGGAACATCTTTCTACTGATGGTGGAACATCTTTCTACATCTGATGAGCAGAGCAGAGAGGAAAAGTCTGGAGACATGGAGATGGTTCAACATCTGCAGGACGAGGAGATTAGTTCCAGGGTTTAAAATCTGAGGAAACATGTTGGTTCCAGGTTTATATTTTGGCAAAATAAATCATTTTTTCTTTTTATAACTTAACTGTCCTGCTGACAGAAGATGTCTCAAAGTTCTGTCTCCTCCTTCATGTTCTGGTTCCTCAGAGCTGCAGGACTTTATGTTGGAACATGAACCTCAGTGATGGAACAGGAGACAGAAACTGATCAGAGTTCAGAGTTTACCGGAGCAGCTTCTGTCTCACTGATTCATGTGTGTGACTCTCTGTGGTGGGGTTAGGATTAGGGTTGTGTGTTGTGTCCATGTAGGAGGTGTAGGAGGTGTAGGAGGTGTAGGAGATGTCAGAGGTGTAGGAGATGT